AGAGCGCTTATGGCAACTGAAAGAGGCTATGCCCAAATAGAGAAAGAGTGTCTTGCAATTGTCTTTGGAATGGAAAAGTTTCATCAATACACCTATGGTCATCAAGTGACAGTTCAGAGTGATCATAAACCACTAGAAAACATTCTCAAAAAGCCGATACTGAGCGCCCCAAAAAGACTTAAAAGAATGTTACTTAGATTACAGAAGTACAGTATTCATGTGATCTATGTGCCAGGCCAAGATATGCTGCTTGCTGATACTTTAAGTAGAGCGTACTTACCTGAGAGTACCACTGACTCAGTTGAAGCAGAGATTGAAACTGTAAATATGGCACAGTATTTGTATCTCAACAGAGAGACTGAAAGTGATACGTTTTGCAACAGAGACTGATGCAAATCTGCAGAAACTGATCCAGACAATTCAAACAGGATGGCCAGCGAACAAAAGGAATGCACCTGCTGAAGTAGCACACTACTACACCTTTCAAAAAGAACTGACCTACCAGGATGAGATAGTCTTTAGAGGAGAGCGAGCAGTCATGCAATCAGGGAAGACATTATGCATAGAATACACTCCTCATACCTGGGAGTAGAAGGATGTCTCAGACGTGCAAGAGAGTGTGTATACTGGCCAGGGATGAGCGAACAAATCAAAACCTATGTAGCCAAGTGTGACACATGTAGGTTAATGGATATCCTTCAGCAAAAAGAAACATTACATCCACATGATGTTCAGGACAGGCCATGGGCTAAAGTAGGTACGGACCTATTTGTCTTTGAGAACAAAGATTATCTGGTAACAGTGGACTATTACTCCAATTTTTGGGAAGTGGATTACTTACCTGATACTACGCCCAGCTCAGTAATTAGGAAGCTAAAAGCTCACTTCTCTAGACATGGGATTCTGGATGTCGTATGTTCGGACAACGGACCCCAGTATATCTCTCAGGAATTCCAGCAGTTCAGCCAGAGGTGGGAGTTTGAGCACAGAACATCATCACCTGGTTACCCCCAAAGCAACGGAAAAGCAGAGTCTGCTGTTAAAATGGCTAAGAAGATAATGAAGAAAGCAAATGCCTCAGGTCGAGACCCCTACCTGGCTACACTGGACCACCGGAATACACCAAGCCAAGGTCTAAACGCAAGTCCAGCTCAAAGACTTTTTAGTAGGAGAACAAGGACTCTTCTACCAATCACTGACAGTCCTCTGAAGCCAGAGATACAACAGACCACACAAGGACTGAGAGACAACCAGCTAAGGCAGGCTAAATACTACAACCAAACAGCAAAGGATCTGTGTGCTCTGAAACAGGGAGAGAGAGTAAGAGTCCAGCCTTTTGAGCCATAGACAGTCTGGAGACCAGCAACAGTGATCAAACCAGTTGATCACCGATCCTATGAGATCAAATTGGAAAACGGCAGTTTTGTGGAGAAACCGACGTCGCCTACGAAAGGAAAACATAACACCAACACCAGTGACTGTTCCAAGACAGACACACACAGATGGCCAACAAACAGTTGTTACTAGGTTTGGACGTACAGTAGTCAGGCCTCGTTATCTCAGAGACTACACAAAGTAGAGACTGAACAGAAAAAAAAAGGGTAATTGCAGAGGGCGGGTTGAACAGAGACTGTTTTATTAAGTAATTAACATGCAATTCTTAAACAGAGTTTAGAATTGTCTTCTTTCTCTTAAGTTAGTTTGGATGTTTCTATTGGAGAAGGGTAGAAGTTAAGAAACTTTGTTATACAAAGCAACCAAGGTTTACATGAAGTTCTTATGTTTAAGATGCAGTATTAAGTTATGTATGATGTTATTTTTGTAGCAGATTCTGGAAGGACGTTAATTAGCTGTGTAAAGGAACCTACTGAAAACAAAAACAAAAAGGGATGTAACAATATCATTGTTAATGAACTGAGGTTTATGTTTCTGTACGGACCTATTAGAGTGTGACACACATTCACAATGAGTGCGGACTTGTAGAGAAGTAGTTAGAGACACACACGAGTATTCCAGTATGTTTTAATTCTTCCAAATAAAACTAAAGTAAGCAAAAGTAAGGCTTTAATCGTCCATTCTGTTAATTGTGAACATGCAAGAGAACAGAATGAAACATCTTCCCTTTGATGGTGGGAGGAGACGTGATATTGATTATTTTATTGTTTCATATTATTTTCTCCCACCTGCTGGTGCACAGTGATGTAAACAAAATTAAGACGATTAAGAGTATTAGAGAACCTTGCTGTGACTTGAGCTTTGGTACTCAGACTTCACCACCACCTGCTTTATCTGACTTTCATGACATAAAGTCATGGATGAGAATGAACATTTTAAAACAATGTAAGCAAAACTGAGTTGCTTTTGAATGTCTCAAAGGCACTGATATCTAGTTCATTTGTCCTTGGCATCAATACCAGTGGGAGTTCTGGTAACACCTTCTCCCCACGTTCGCAGTCTCAGAGTTATCTTTGACCCCACACTCTCTTTTGACATTCACATCAATTCTGTTGTTAAGACAGCGTTTTTCCATCTTCGTAATGTTGCTCGTCTCCAACCATTTCTCAGCCAAGCCGATGTAGAAACACTTGTGCATGCATTAGTGACGTCAAGGCTAGACTACTGCAATGTTCTTCTGTCTGGCCTCCCTGTCAAAGCCCTCACTAGGTTACAGTGTGTTCAAAACGCAGCTGCTAGGATCATCACCTTTTCAAAAAAGAATAATCATATCACCCCGGTCCTTCAAAGTCTTCACTGGTTACCCCTTACATTCTGTGTTCAGTACAAGGTTCTTCTTATTACATATAAAGCTCTGCACGGCCTGGCTCCTCAATAATTGGCTGAGCTGCTTCATCTATACATTCCATCCCGTAATTTAAGATGGCAAAATTTAGGCCTTCTTCATGTTCCAAGGTTTAAATTGACTTCTATGGGTGGTCAATTATTCAGTGCAGTAGCTCTCAAATTTTGGAACACTCTCTCCCAGTCTATTTGGGATAACACTTCTCTTTCTTCATTTAAATCTCTACTGAAGACTTTACTTGTTTTCACTGTGTTATCGATGTTCTGTTTATACTTAAATGTTTACCTGTATTGTGCCTTTGCTGTTAATTGTTCAATTGTTTAAAGTGTCCTTGAGCACAGGAAAGGTGCTATATAAATAAAAGTGATGATGGTACTTTCAAGAAGACTACAATATAAATTTTTACATGATACAGTATTGTTAAAATTCATCGTAGGTCAAACATGCAGTCTAATTCCAAAGCAAAGTGTAACTTTCAAGTATTCAACTTTTAACCAGACTCATATTTACTATTCCCTATTTCTTAGTCAAACAGATAAAAAGGACAATTTTCTTTCAGTTCTTGCCACTGGGGGTAGGATGAGCAGACAGTGTTTGGAGTACTAAAACATGTACGCAACTATAGCATTCTATCAAAAGTGTTTCATCTTTTAACATCCACGTATTAATGTCTTTGTCATAAGGATAATGTTCAAGTTCAGAAGCAGGCAAATTTCTTAGCTTAACTTTACATGATCAGTAAAATCATAAATTTCCCCCACACACCCTACTACATTTATACATTTATACACAGAACAGCAAGCATCACACCCAGGTTAAATACATACCCCATACTCCATATATACCCAGGACTATATACTCAGTAGACTCAATATATACCCAGGACTATATACTCAGTAGACTTAATATATATCCAGGACTTTATACCCAGTAGACTTAGTATATATCCAGGACTATATACTCTGTAGAATTAGTATATACCCAGGTCTATATACTCAGTACACTCAGTATACACCCAGGACTATATATTCAGTCCAATTAAGTCTGAATAGGAACAAAATGTCTTGGTCATAGCTCTCTGGTGTAAAACTAAACCAGAATCAAGGTTGAATCAAGACTAATAGGACACAAGACAGAGCCTTTTGGAGTAATAAGATCAGTTTTTGTTATTCTGTTCCTGGTTAAATACCTGTATGTATCTCCTCAATGCTGAAGAACAGACAGAAGATGGGCATCACAAAAATCTCTCCATGACCATCCAGTATGTTAGTTGGTTAACCATTCCACTGTTTTAAATGAATGGATCTCATTTATTTTACATTATTTGACATATTAGCTTAGCTTTAGTATAAAAATATTACACTATTCAAAAATTGCATGTGGTGCACACACTGTCTCTAGCGTCTCAAGGTTTCAACAATATTCAAACCACTTTGAATCATCTCTTAAAAGACATCTTCTCTTTTAAGAGAGAAGATGTCACTAAAACCCTGACTATGTACAAATATACAGAATAGTTCCAACATACAGGCTACATACCAACAGTGTTATATCAAAACCTCATAACTCCAGGTAAATAGTTTTTATTAATTTTCTTTACACCATTTAAAAATACCAGCTGCCCTTTACATTGTATGAACATTTCATGATGGATGGACCAATAGAAGTGATCCATAATTACCTGGAAAAAATCTCAATACATTAAAGTACATTATAGTTAAGAATGTGTTTTTTCTTCTCCTATAAAGTTACCATTCTAGAGATACAAGAATTTCTTTTACAATAGCGAAGATAAGCTGTAAAAACAAACAAAAAAAAGGTTTAATTGCATTCAGGTCCCTTTAAAAGGAGTGGTGGGAAATCACTATATATGCTAACTCGTAGTGCCTTTCTTTTCTGGTCACAGTTTCAGATTCGGTATGAAGAACCAGTATGGAAATGTGAGCATATGTTATTTGTCTTGTTAGAAAAATGGTTTCTCTCTTTTACATTGAGCCCTTGAATAAAGAAGAAGAGAGGGGACAGCTGGTGATGCAGGGGGAAGTTCATTTCTAGTACCTGTGATCTCTGCAAGATGCAAATATTCAGATGCAACAAGTATAAGCATGCACCGGCTACTTCCATGTTAAGAGCAAAACTCATGTAGTAGACAGACGCAGCAGGAATCCACACAACTGCATTGCTTTGGCTTTGCTGCCTATGTGGAAATGTTAATGAACAGTGCAAGTTCACTTACCATATTACAGTTTTAAATGCATTCATGAGTTATTTGTGTAATGCAACGATTGACAATATGAGACAAAGTACAAACCACAAAAAGCTTTTGGGTCATTCCATGTCAAATCTCTAGGTGTCACCCACGAGGAGTTATTTTGATTTGGACTAAACGTTTTTCTGAGATCTGTTCGTGAAATCTGCCATCTGACCAAGCAGCATGACCGCCATGTTTGGGACAAATCTGATGATTGGTTAATAAACTGCTGAGCATTAAATGCCACCTGATGACTTTCCCTAAATATGCTCCTTTCCATCTGTTTCCACTGAAAAGTGCCTTTTGACTTGTCTTATTGTGGCCTCCTCTTAAAAGTCTCCAACTTTCTTTATCATTTTTGACATGGTATGACTCTACAGCCAGTCTCACAATCATAGAAGCAGATTCTTAACAATCTATAACATGGTTTACATTATCAGAATCTATTACACATCATGATTTGAGATAGAGGTCCATGGTTAGTCTACTCTGCTCTGATTGTGAGACATCGTAAGTGACAGCAGCTAAAAATGTGTTTCTTAAGTTTCGATCTGCTGAAAAGGTGTTTAAACAAAACAAAAAAAACTGGACATCCCTGCCTGTCTCCAGGCATTTCATTTTTATGCATTGATCTATTCATCTTTCAATACATTTGTGAGCAACACCTGCTTTTTACAGGCTGGTAAAAATAATGATGGTTAACACCTACTGTTCATTATAGTCACTCTGCCAGAGCTTTGAGGGATCACTTGGTTGCTTTATCAGTATTATCTGTTATCCTAACATTAATACTTCCTAAATTACCCAGGCTTTAGCAAACAACTGCAAAAAAGTTGATTGAAAAGTTGCTGCAAACTGCCCACACCCATAAAAATATAGACAAGTCTACTTTGTTGACAGTTTTGCGCCACACCACAACACGCAGAAGCTTATTAAATCTTAAACCCACCTTATTTCTGTTCACAAGACAATGTAAAAATAGCTATTTTACTGCATTGATTTTTGATTTGGCTGATGTATGACAGTAACAGTGAAACCCACTGTGGTTGTGAGCAAGAAGTGTTTAACCTTTCCCTACATGACTGAAACAAGTAATTATAAATGCAGGCAAGATGAGGCACTGTGGTTTTCAAGACAGCCTGACATAAGCGACCACCTAATCCCATTATTACAGTTTCACCCACCTCATTTCAGTCACAAGTTATGCTAAATCCTCTCAATTGCCATTAGAAAACTACTGTTCTCCAGCATTCATGTTTTGGATTTTGCATGACTGGCTGGTGACAGAATGTACAAAGCAACCTGGGATTCACCAACTCAACCCACTGGAGTTGCAAGTTTCTGAGGGCAAAATTGGATTGGCATGTGGTGACTCAAAACTCCCTCAGTCGGGACTTTCACAAAACATGCAATGGCTGAATAGAGGGAGGACGCTTGAATATTGTGAATCACCACCAGACAAATACTGAAAAAGAAAGAAGGAAAGAAACAGAAGATGACAGATACTGCAAGAAAAACAGCAAAAAGATACATGTCGAGAAATTCCTGCATTCTTTAAGGTTCAGATTAACCTTTAGCTTAGTTTAGGTAAAAAATGCTAGCTTTTAATAAAGACAGCACAGTCTGGGAATAAGCGGAGGTGTGCTTAGTCTAAAGGCATTGGTAGAGAGGTATATTAGATATTAGATTTTAGGGAGAGCATCTTGTGCTTGCATAGATGCAAGTTCTCAAACTGGGACCGTTAGCATTGCGCATTCTGCACCCTGGTGCACCAAGGTTTGCTTGCAATGGGATCTGTTTTTCGGGAGATGAGGTGGTTTTGCTGTAAGTGAGAAAGCAAACTGCACTTTCAGAAGAAAAGCCATCGTTTTTGACTTTTTTTGCAAGACAGCAAGTTTAGCTTACAAAAAAGGAGTGTGATAAAATTACTTTTGCTTCACTGTGCGGCATTATCAGCGTCTGGCCACTGATGCAAAGCAGACATGTAGCGAAAATACTTCATTTTCAGAAACAAGCACTAGTTTGGACCTGCAAACTAACTGGATGTGAAAACACCCTTAAAACAGAAGCAACAACAGACCCTAACTCAGCACTCTTACTATGAGAGGTTGGATACATCGAACCCCCAATGCCAACAAATGCTGCGATTAAAGTGGCATATATATCCAGATAACAAAGAGTCATTTTGCTGCTCTGTGTGGCTTGAGGCCCAAGTACTAACCAAGAGGGAGGCGCTGTATAAAAAATGTGAGATTACATTGGAAGCATTGTTCAGAAAACACATATAATCCCTGTTGATTTCTTAAAAGAGAGTCCACTGCAGTGCTAAACAGAGGTCTGCTCTGAAGTCACTTGGGTGTTCTGCTGTAAATCTATCAGATGCTCTTAATGCATTCAAGTAATACAGATTTCTTGCACGCACATGTGCCTATACTTGATGCACCATAAACCATTATTATGTCAGTCATTTTGTGTGTTTCTATGTACAGATCGCATAGGCTACAAAAAGTCTGTGTTACCCAAATGCACCCTCATCTCAGTTTAAAAGACATATTGCTGTATCAAGAGGTTTGATTTCCAGGCCTGTTTTTCACAGTCTCTGGCCCATGATGAAGTCCATGTGGGTCAGTGCGCATTTTAGAAACCTAAAAGCAGAGGGACACAGTAGTCCAGTTTGATCAAGCACTGTCCTGAAACTGACTCTTTTCAAAGAAGATCCCTCTAAGATCTGACAGCTCCAGTCAAAACCATCCCTTCTGTACAGTCAGCTGATTTGTGCCTTGTCCTGGACACCACTGTCTCTTGGGCAAAGTGGTTTATTGGCAGCCCTTGAGATAGGTAACAGTGTGTCTTCATCAAGGACACATTCAGGATGCCCCTGAGAGCATGTCCTTATTTTTCCGAGGAACAAGTGAACCTCTGCATTCCTGGACAAGCCCTCAGTCATCTGGGGAAGGACTAAACTTGCGCCCTTCTCTCTTCTTCCGTTCCCTAGCACGTCCCTCTGGAAGGGCCAAGGGTTCAGCTGTTAGCCACAGGAGTCTCCTTTAGTACATGTCTCTATAGATCTCCTGCAGTAGAGGATGTAGTGACGTGTCCTCAGTCTTCTTGATCTCCTGCACTAACTGAGCATGCTCTGTCACCAGCTGACGCAGGTCTGCTAGCTTCTGCAGCAATTTGGGGAAGAGGAAGGCATTGTCTGGGTGGTTGTTCTGAAGGTGTAGCTGCAGCACATGAATGATTCTCTCCTGCATTCGTTCTATGTGAGGGATGTTCACTAGACCTGGTCGATCTGAGGGACAAGAAGTGGAGATTTTACTTGAACTGTTTAGCACTTCATCCAAAACGCAGCCTGTTTATTCAAATTAAGTCAATGATAAGGGCGCAAACATTTATTCTCAATTCTTTAGGAAACAGTTCTGTGCATTATGAATTCTCAATTGTTAAAAATACACTGAATGCACAAATGTGACTGAAGAAACTAGTTACACTGCAGTGGAATAAAGACATATAACAGGAAAATAGCCTTATAATTTTATTTTAGTCAAACAGTTATCATATATAATATTGAATAATGTCATTATGATCAATTATAACCAGTTGCTCCAATTATGAATATCTATGGCCAAATTCTTTTGTTTTTCATTAGCTTTTAGCCCACACTGTGGAACCACACTAGCACATTTTCAGTACTTTCTATTAGCCAAAGTAACAAAATAACACTACTTGCTTGTTAACAGGCCAAGCTGACATTTTCAATTCTTTAACAAACAATTAGTGCCTGTTTAAAATAAAAATTAAAAAGTGCTAAAAGTAAGAGGCAACAATGCACACTGATTCATGCACAAACCAGGACATTTGCATAATATACTTTGGTACATGTGCAGCAGCAGCATTCAAGTACAGTGCAAGTGCACTTACCTGACTCACATTATTTGCGCCATAGAAATTGTAACTCGCATCAGCCAAAATAAAAATAATATATAGGCTGACTGCCAATTCTGTGTTTGGAGCAAAAATTGTTTGATTCTGAGCACGCATCCCTAATTACAATCAATTAAAACTTTCCAAAATCAATGCTGTTGAACCTTCAGGTTGATGTGTCCTAATGCATCAATGCATTTTTAAACTGCTTTTACCCACCACCCAACAGAGTCTTCTGATAATAAAAGCACTGCATAAGCTGACATCACACAAAACAGGGGTGCCAAAGCCTGGTCCTGGAGATCTACCACCCTGCAGAGTTCAGCTCCAACCCTAATCTAACACACCTGAACCAGATAATGGAGGTCTTTAGAGGCATCTGAATATTAGAGAGCCAGGTGAGCTGGATTTGAACTCTCCAGCGTGACAGATGGGCACCCCTGATACAAAGGAATTAAATTCAATGTCTCAAGATGCAGAATTTGGTTGCTCTCAGGTTGCTGGATTTGACAACTTACCTCCACAGCAGATGATGGCAGCCACAAACAAAGCCAGGTCACTGTCGTCAAGTTCCAGGGCGTTGAATTTCATAGCAAACTGGAACTTAGGCTCCATCATGTCACTGAACGGCCGTCGCAGGCTCTTGAGAAACTCTCTTGTGATGAAGCCGCTGCCATATGCAACCAGCAACCCGTCTTTATTCATGCAGGAGGCCAGCATGGCAAACAGCGCCTCATACACGCCATACTTCAGCAGCGTTACCTAATGGAGCATGCAATGAAAATAACTGAGGTAAAGCAATATAATGTAGTTCTGTTCAGGATTTTCAGTGAAATGAATGAAATTCACTACAACAGAGACTCTCCATTAGTTTCCAGATGACAGAGTGGTATACAAGAGTAAAGTAACTTACTTTTTTTGACTATCTGAAATAAAACAATGCAGGCTTGTTTTATGTGAACGGCCGACGAAGGGACAAACTCCCTGGTTAATCCCAACACAATGCAAATACTTAACACACCTGTGATGCAATAATTTCAAGTGACTCATGTTGTTTTGCTTGATGTTTGTCAAAGGACATAACACCGACCTGGTCATTCAGGTCCAAGTTGCAGAAGCCTGGCACAGACTTGGCAAATTCAGTGAGCTCTGTCACTGTCTCCACAGATGTGCACTGGCAGCAGTGGAAGATGCGCACTTCCGCCTCTTTATTGAGCAGCCCTCCTGAGGTGCCAACCATCTTAGCCACCAGAGTCTGCTCAGCCAGCTGCAGAGTCTCCATGTCATGGACGACAAAAGGCTGGAAAACAAAGAGAATCAAGAGTGAATGGCTAAGAAGATCACGATCACAAGTTTGACTGACATAATTTCAGTTTTGAGAAAATGTTAAAAATCAGTTTTGGGTTAAAAATCACAGTTATAACTTGTGATAACAGAAGTAGGGCGTAATGTGATATTAATCATTTCTCACTTGAACTAAGCAGAGAAATTCTGTAAGATCATTTGAAAAAGGATATTGCTGTGAGTACAGTTCTGTTTTGTGTAAAAATACAGTTGAGCACTTTTTTTGTAAAAAAGTTGGGCACCCCTGATCAAATGACATGTATTGTTGATTTTCTAAGTGACAATGAGTTAATAATCCTCTACAGAGAACACACTTTTTCCCATTTTAATGCACAATTACTGCTTATTTGCTGAATTTAACATACTGGGGGAAAAAACATAAAATGTGGCCTGCAGAAAAATGCCATATTTAAGTATGCTACCTGTAAAGGATTAGGTAACTTACTTTGACTTGTAAAATCAACAAAATATGTAATTTGACTGGGGGTTCTCAAGTGCTTGCATATGACTGTACATCCTTTACATTTTTGCCATAAGTTCCTTATTTATTCACATTAGTGCAAACAAAAAAAGTCAAAGTGCAGACATTAACAACAGTACTTTACATAAAGCCTCCATTTGCAACAATAGACCTACAGAAAAATATAGTTTTCAGAAAGTCATGCTTCACTGTCTGTGTCAGAAGGACAATACAGAAGAGGACTACAGCAGACAAATCTTTCCAGCAGATACTCAACAAAAGAGTAAGGCATAGAACAATCTATCCAAACAATGAACACAACAAACAAGCTATTCAGCTCATATTCCTTCTGTGGTCTTAGGCATTGATTCAGAGCTTTCCAAAACAATGCACTTCCTCAGACATGAATAATGCAGGTAACCACAAATTCAGATGCATGACTGGATAGGTTGTACAGTAAACAGTACTGAGGATAAGCGCTGCCTCAAAGCTGTGCTTCCCAGCCTCGCATGATGGGGGCGAAAGCAATTCAAGTTCCCACAGAAATCAGACTGCCACCTGCTGCTGTCTGTCATCTTGAGGTTGTAGCAGGCCACGCTTAACCCTGAAATGGTAAGCAGGCTACATGAAGCCATTGAAACTGGTCATAATAGCATGTTTTCACAACAGTGTTGGGGTTTGAGGTTACACTTGCACAAAAATCAAAATAAGATAGCTTGACAATCCTATTTAGTATGTGCATTAAACTGCACAGTAACAGTGTATTAAGCTCCAAAAGGAATACTTTTGGTGGCTGCAAGAAATCAGGCTTCATTCACAGTTGCCAGTGTTGCTGTGTCCTCACTTTTAAACATCTGTGAACTAAAACCCAGCAAAACTGAAGAAACTAAATGGGATTAAAGCACTGGGAAGTCTCCATCTTAGGAGCAGAGATACAATTTACACCCTAACATCCTTTTCTAAATAGAGAATGAGTGCACTGTGTGAGAACATGCTAGGATGAAAGAGATTCTTTAACCCAGCCTTGATCACACCAAACAGCTGGGTAATGTCCCAGGGACTCGAGAGCACAGAGATCTACAGACAAAGTGAACCAACAATCATGCTAGTGTTGCAGTTACAAGCAGAGATAGCATTTGTGAAGTGGACCTACTCTCTCTGGCTTTTATCCACACCCAGCGAATGAAGACACTGGAATTTGGGGTTATCCATAAGCTCAGCCACTCCTTGTAGATGATTTAAAGGCCTCACATATATTTTCTCAGTATTTTACTCTTTGATAAGGGGGACAGCATGCATAAAATATAGCCCACGCATACACAAACGCTATGCAGGTTAATCTTACTGGTGTGTTTGTCTTGCCCGTTAGAATGGTCCGTGCTTTGGATTTGTTCATGCTGAAGTTCTTCAGATAAGCCTCGTAGATTTGCTTGGCCAGGGTTTTCTGGTCAGCTAGCCGAGGATCCTCCACCTCTTTCTCTCCTGTTAGTATCTCAGCCTTCAGCTTCAGCTTCTCTGACTGGGGCATCCGGCCAAAGCGGATAGCTGCATGAAAAATATACAATGCTCAGTTAGGTATGTGTTGTATGTGTTGTTCTCATTTGAAGTTTTAGCATTTTACTAGTGGACAGCCAGGTATGGTACTGTGCAAAAGTCAGAAATGACAGTTCATTTATTTAATTTCCAGTCCAAACTGCCGAAGACTCAATATCCAAATATATTTATAGATTTTTCAATATTTAGTGTGTCTACACTTTACCTTTATTACAGTTTGGTTGTATTTTCTGCTTCTCACATTCCAAGTCATTCCAAACACATTCAGTGATGTTGAGGTCTGGACCATTATTCTGAGAACACCAGCAGTTTCTTTAATTTGCACACTTTCATTTATTTGTCTATATCTATTCTTCAGTAGGGGCTTCTTCACAGTTACACATCCTTTCAGACTCAAAGTGCTGAGTTGTCTTCTCACAGTGGAAGGATGGACAGAAACAGCTGTGGATTTTGTCAGAAGTAAAGCAACAGTGGAGCTTGATTTTTAAGAGTCCCATTTTCTCTAAATCTTTTAATCATTTTTAAAATAATAAAACTCTAGTGTTGGAAACTCCTGTTTTTCACCTGTTTTCCTTTGTGTATTACCTTACATATTCCATTCTCATAAATGTCTCTTGAAAAATGAATAACTTGCACTTAATGTCTGTTTGCCTGGAAATTAAATAAAAGGGTGGATGATCTTCTTACTTAAGAATACTACACAAATGAAACCATCTTCTGTGCAGACTTCAATATTGGTAACAATAGAACAAAGACAAATACAAACAGATTTACATGGAAACACACATGATTTCACATAGGGAATTCCCTCTGCACTTTGGAGATGTTAAGCAAACTTGAGGGAACATGATTACAAGTCTGAACTATGTGCAAATCATGAGTAAGATCAGGATGTCTGTTGTCTTGGTAGTAGACCCCAAGGAGTTGGGCAACTCAAATTTCAAGATGGATTCTGTCCAGATGGGGAAACCATTGCATGTTATCGTCTGACAAGGACATCATGACCCAGTATTCGGATGATGTAAGATTTGAACTGGCGTTTCAGAATCATTTAATTGGCAATGCAAACTTATTGACAGGCTCTTCTAAGCCATCCATCGACTGATGTCACCTACGTGCGTAATGACTTTGCTAAAGTCTATGATTCACATTAGTTGCCAGGCTTGCTGCAACTAGTCCCTATAGTTTATGATACACTTTTAAACTCAGTGGCTTAATAAATTAGGCCAAGTTTTGCTGTAGTGTTCACTCCATTCAAACACTGTGAATATTATGATCTGAAAAGTGATTCAATGCTGTACTTAGACAGTAAAATCTGAAAATCTAATCAGATTAAGTCTGTACTGGCTGTAAACCTCTTTGACGCAAAGGCCACCACACACTCAAACCCACTTAAACACACACACACCTCAAACCTTGAACAAGACGATACAATATTACGTGCATACTGCATGTTACACTACATGCTATTTAACCCATTAGCTTCTAACATTCTAATTTGACTATTTACATGCAAAAAGGTGAAATACATTAATCAAGCTTTCACCCATTACAGATAATGAGCTGGACCATACAGCAGAGTTGAACAGAGTGTGTAAGACGCTGATGCAGGAGGAGCATCAGCAGACGTGTCAGACGCAGCTCAATGTAAGCACATTTGCTAAGCTGGCTCTGAGAGGATGAGGCTTTGGTCAGTCTGGCTTAAGCACTACCACAACCTACTAATACGCTTGGAACCCAATGCTTTTCAATTGTACTCTGTACTTTATCAGAAAAAGATGTATGTCTCAACTGCAATCCTAAGGAGAACTCATGAGAGCATTTTGCAGATGCATATCAAACCTAGTTTTGCACCAAAAATCACCATCTTTGAATTCTCAGTTTAGAACTTTTTACAGCTTTTTAAGCTTGGGATGTAGAAAGATTTTTGAAAATACATGTCAAAAGGTCTATGAGAAATCTGTTATCACCTTTTACACTCTAGTCTTGACAAAATGCTTTAAAATGTGGAGATTTTTGAAAACACATTGAAAAAAATGCATACTGGTGACACTGGGTTAAGTCTTTATGCCCATGTGCTGTATTGAGGAACAGATTAAGGTAATGCCTTGCTGGCTGAAGCACAGAGAACAGATGGAGTGACCTAATGAAGAAGTGGAGGTATAGTTTCAACCACTGCACTTCTGCCAGACTATTCTAGTATATGGGAATAGCATGTCCTTACTCCAACTCTAAACCTGTTATAACAGTGGCAGCCAAAAGCAGCTCACAGAACAGTTAGATAGCACTACAGAAATTGAAGACATTGTGTTTTCAATTGCAATCAGTAAAACAATTATAGATGAAATACATGCAAACTGACCAATGTTACACTAATCAATTCTTGAAGCTACTGTGAAAGATCTAATTAAATTGCCTTGATAAGTAATATGGCTATCATGATAACTTCTCAATGAATCGGCAATGTCTGGTTGGTAAGTTGCATGATGATAATGTATATTTTAATTACTCCTACTGGCATCTTCATAGTAAGAAATAAAGCTTGATTTACACATTCATTTATAAAGCACCACTCTCACAACAAAATCTCCAAATTGGCAGCTCTTCAGGAGAAGGAAAAAACGTTTTTAGCTTTGAAATTTTTAACGCATTGTTAAAGTAAAACTGGCATTTTCTAATTTTGCAAAAGCCCATTTTAATTGTTGTTTTGAAAGAACAATGTAATCAAGTAATTGTCAAAATAATCATAAGATTACTTTATTACTCAATCACTTATATAATCTACAGCCCTAATAATTAATCAATAGCTTCTTTAGAATCAGTCCAAATTGAAGACCCTATATCTATGGCAACCTCAACATAATCAACCCCAAGAAGACATGCCTAGTCTTCTTTGCTTTTAGGTAAATCGTTTCTCTTTTTAACGTATCAGCTGGTAAGCTCAGTTCGTCCATCTGGCAGTCTGACCTAACGCATGTTTCCTGAACCCTGTCAACCTGTGTTGACACTGTTCCATGATGTCACTTAGACTACCATCGCCCTCTCTGCTATTTTTAGTGTGGGACCGTCAAAGCTCTGCAGAGCCGGGTTGAGGGTCAGCATGCCATGCTGTAAGTGTACATAAAAAGAGAGATTGGTACACAGAAAGCATTTTGGGTCACGGACTTTGAGCAGGACAAGATTGGAAGCATGCGTCCTCTGACTGCTGAGCATGTGAACAGAGAGCGCTGCATACAGCTGTGGACTGTATGGAAACTGACCCAAGATCAAGAACAATGAAAGAGTCACTCTAAGATAACAAACACTGTTAAATGTGCTTTGTGACATTAACATTGAGGATTAACTTGGTAGACACTGTAATAAGACACAATAAGTAAGAGAAATTCAACTGAGAAGCTGATAACTGATCTTCAGGAAGAGAAGCTTTGCACAGTTTATGTATCTTAGGTACATTATTATGCTTGCATTGCAGGGCTGAGATAACTTGAATGATGTTGACATTGTTTCTGTGGTAACAGGAGACCACTAATGGTCATTTGATAGCATTGTGGCAAGCAGGCCAAGGAAATGTCACCCCACCCACTGTAGTAGATATGAATAAAACATGTATAGTAGTAGAATCATCCATTTCAGTGAGGAAAACCAGAGTGAATGGAGTCCTACTCGTGACAGACAGTGGCCAAGATGGTACACAGTGTACCCTATCAAATCATGAGTTACCCATAAACAGCCACAGCTTAATCTGTTGTTACCTGTATGTATATGTGTGGGAGTGTGTCGATGCCATAACACTTACCATTGTGGGACATGCCCACAGATAGGCACTTCTGAAAGCGGCAGTATTGGCACTTGTTCCGGTTCTTCTTTTGGATTTTGCAGTGGCGTTCACACTTGTCGTATTCTAGCTTGAGGCGAATGGTTCGCCTGAAGAAGCCCTACAGGTGGCAGAAGTAGAAGCTCATGAGTTCACTGGGTTTAATGCCAAAAAAAAAACAGAACACCTGACTATGTAAACATAACATACTATTTGTGCCAGCAAACACCTTCGTCCTTGATAAAAACCATAACAGTGAATGGAGGATGTTGACGAAACTAAATGCACTTATATACTTGAATTTACTTAACTAATTATTTTATCTATCTTTTCCCCTTCCAAATATAGCATGCACATTTGTGTTCTTTTAAATTCCATCAAAAGGGTACTTTGAGTAACCATGTGGAAAAAAACACTTTTGTTTTCCCTAAAACCATGAAGAAGATCTGTGAGTGTAAAGAACCTTTTAAAGGTTTGAAAAACCTTAACATAATATAACCAATTTAAAGGTTCCTCTTAAAACCTTTACATTATGTTCTTCACATTCACACATCTCATTTACAAAAATGATTCTCCAAAGAACATACACTGAAAGGTTCTTTAGGGAACCAAAAGTGGTTCTTCTAAGACATTGCTCCCTTTTTTGAGACCCCTTTTTGGCACCTTTTTTAGGACTGTATAATGAGCAACTGTGGTTATTGGTTTAGTTTTTGTGTTGTTTAATTGTTTATATATATAACTATGTGTGTGACCACAATGAAATCTCAGTAGTTTTAACAGTAGGAATAACATACAGAGCAGTATCTGTTCCAGCTTGTCCTGCCTTAGGTTTCCTCTTTAAAAATCATCTAAAGAATTCTGCATTCTTGTACACTGAAAAAGACTTCACTTTACATAGTAAACGGGAACAGTATTTCTTTCCTGTGTCAGGAGAAATAAACTGCAGACATTCATCTGCAAGCAACTATATACTAAATGGAACTTACAGTTTTGAGCATTTATAACAACAAATGAAAATAATATGCAGAGCTTCTTGACCGGGATTGTATGCAGAGTGCCAATGAGGAAACTGTATTTTCATGTCGTATCCACAACTAAGACAATTGCAAGTCATCAGACCACATGATCCTAAATATGTACCGAACCTGAAATCAGTTAACTTGCACAATCTGGATAAACAGTAGAGTCAATCAGCAATGAGCAGTGCCAGCAGTGTGGACACTCAAAGGGAGGCTGGCAGTGAGATGAGGGGCCATTAAACACGAATTGCTTCATTTCTATTTAGCCATTCTGTCCTGAGACTCTTCCACAAAGTTACGAAAGGCAGATTATGGTGAGGGCAGAAGCTCCACGGGGGACAGCAGGAGGAGTGGGAGGGGGTGGGTTGATTTGAGGACAGAGGGGTTGGGGGTGTGAGTCCAGGGAGATAGCGTGCCGTCAGCCACGAACAGAGCCACGTGGCTGGAAAGGCCTAATCATGATCCTCGGGCATGACTGTCTAGCTGAAACAGGGAGGGACAGAGTGTGTCTGAGATTGTGCATCAAAGTGTGTGTGTGTGTGAAATGGCGTTAAAACAGTAGGTCTCTCTGTCGTCGCTATGAGAGACTGTCATTACATACTTACATTAATGCCTTAATACTAAACAATCCACAAGAGTCTGTGTGTTATAGCAGTTTACCAGTGAAAGGGGGTGATGTTAGTGAAGCAGTGCAACATTTTTTCACATTAATTTTTTTCACATTAATTTTTCATGGTTTTAATATAGAATTTAACTGATATGCACAGTCATGCATGCGTGTTTTTAAAACTGCTTTAAACATGGCTCAGTCAATCTGAACTATCACTTCAACAATGTTGTACGCACCACATATTTGTACATTAAGCTAAGACAACAGGGCTTTTTAAACTTAAACTTAATTTACCAAAAGTCTTCACTTTTGTCATCGCAGCACTGGTGATAATAACAGCAATGCTATTTTTAATCACAGCAGTATTGCTCTGCACTGCACAGCACTACCGCTAACTTAATGTCTGTAATCTTTGACATTGGAAGCCCATGAGTTAGAGGTCATTTGTTGCCTTCATGGCCATTGCTTTGTCCCTTGGCTCAGTCACATAACCTGTGCTTGGACTAGACAGAAGTATGTCTGTCGCCCGTGAGTCAGGTGCTGTTCTGACAGGCCTCAAACATAGCTGGCCTCAGTGCCAATTGGCCCAAGAATAACTCAAATTAGCAAAAGTCCTGTTTAGGTTCTCTGTACATGAGTTTGGGGCAGCTATTCCTACATGTTTAATTATGGTTTACAAAGCACTCAAGCAAGAATTCATTTCAGAACATTTTTCTCCATTTTGCCAACACTGTATACAATTTACATCCCAGTGGTCATTAGGCGGAAGGCAGGAAACACACTGGACAAGTCGTTAGTCCTTCACAGGGCAGATACATAGACAAATACTTTTGATCACAACTAATGTAATAAAAATAAACTTTACTTGACTGAACTTTTAATTTACCCAATTTGAAAATTTTAATTAATTGATTTGAATTTAACCAGTCAGACCTGCAAGTGGCTACAAACTATTATAGGATTCTGAGAGCAGAGTAAACACACTGTGTTGTTTTGACTACAGTGAGAGCCTGCTCTGATGAAAAAGAATGAAGCAGTGTAAAATATGTGTGTACGTTACTAAAATCCAAGCAAGAATTGCTTGTACCATTGTCTGCTGTGTAGTATCTACTCTCCTGCCCTAAATGGTCTATGCTTTATTGTCTATTGTATAGTTTATCGTATAGTGTTTTGTGTAGCTTATTGTCTATTTGTGCTGTATTTATTGTCTGTTTGTACTGTTGTCTGCTGCTGTGTTAAATGTAGTACTGTGTCCTGGAGAAGCTATATTTAGTTCCTCACTCAACACATCTGTAAGAAGGAATGACAATAAAGCTGACTCTGACTTTGTATCAGTTGACGGTGGTGGGGTGCTTACACTGTGGTCTGTGCTAGAAGGCATTTAGGGAGATGAGCAGAGGAGTTTTGAGTAGTAAAGCCTTTTAAATTTAGGAGTGCCTTGGCTCTTAAATCACCAGAAATTAAGTGTTAAAATGATGAAAACTGTGACTACTCGACAGCCAACAGCTTTCCAAACACAACTTGAAATACAGGCAGGAGGAACAGCAGAAGGGAGGAGAGAGTGAACTTCTCTTTCAGCATTAGAGTAAAACACTCTCCTTACACGCTACTGTACTGTCTGTGTGTGAGCGGCTGGCCCACTTAGTCTTCCATATGGGGTCTATATCAGGCCAGAGGCCATATGCAGGACAGGGACGAAGTACACACTCAGCAAAACACACTAATGGCACAATTTGCTAGCTAAGCATAGTTAACTACACCTAAGAGGTGAACTAAATGATGATTCCATTCAGCCCTGGGATGTAGATGCTATGCATTTAACCAGAGTGTGACATTAATATTAAGAAATTACCTAGTAAATTAGTTATCTTATTGACTAACACGTCCATTTTACACATTAATTTTATTTGGATAACTGCTTTCAAAACAAAACAAACTGGTTTTGCTATGTGCAAAAAGAGGCAAATGAAACGCAAAATAATAGGACAAGATACAGAACTAGGGCTAGATGATGGTGGCTAAAATCATAATTTTGATTATTTTGCTCAATGTTGTAATCATAACTGCACAGTCAATTGAGGGGCAGAGGAGTTAAGCCTTTTTTACACTGTACATTATAAGCCTGTGTTCCTCTAAATGTATTAATAATTGAATCACAGTCCTTAGTCACATTAACTGAGTACATCTTTCAAATACTGAATGTAAGTAGGAGTAAGTGTAAGCAATAAGGAAAAAGAGTTATAAATGCTATAAACACTTGAATGCAAGAGTTTGGATACCCCTTGTCAAATGATATGTCTTGTTGATTTTCTAAGGGATAATAAGTTAAGACATCCTCTACAGAGAACAAACTTGAATCTGCCATGTTTCTGCAAATTTTAATGCATGATTTCTATTTATTTGCTGAGTTAAACATATTAGAAAAAAATAAAACATGCACAGGCCACAATTTATGTTTTATTCTTTTCCATATGTTAATTTCAGCAAATAAACAGTATTAAATGTGCAGAAGTGTGTTCTCTGTAGAGGACGTGTTACGTATTTTCACACAGAAAATCAACAAAACATGTCATTTGACCAGGGCTGCCCAAACTGTATAAGTGAGCAAGCCAAATTGTGTCATGACTAAAATGCAATTCATTGTGCAGCCCTCATGTGATGCTTGTCTAAGCTCACCTTGCAGCCCTCGCATGCGTGGACCCCGTAGTGATAACCTGAGGCGCGATCTGCACACACACGGCACTCCAGATTCAGAGAGGCAGAGGTGAACTCCTCCTGACCTGCCACGGCCCCACACACACCTGATGATGGACTTGACGCTGGAGTCAGGGCATCTACACACAAATAAAGCAAAGGAACTTTTATACCCAGACAGTTTCAGCAGCAGCAAAAAGATCAATGTGTTCATGTGGGTATAGATACCCCAGGGGTAGTTTTATTTAAGCCTAGCATAAGAATAAAACGTAAAAATTACAGTAACACCAACCACATAGATAAACAGCTTTAAGCTGGAAAAAATCTTATTACCACAGAGTGAAATCCAACTAATTAGTCTAATAATGGGCAAAAAGAAATCAGACAGTGCTGGATTTCATTACAACGGTAAAGGAAATGAATCAGGAAAGAAAAGATAGAACATGATTAGTTAAACATTCACAGACATTCATCAGTTAAACATTCACAGCTATGAGTTGTTAGTAATTCTGTTACTCTCAGGTTCAGTGACGACACTGATGACACTGTATAATAACACACTTCTGCACATTTTAATGCACAATTACTTTTTATTTGCTGAATTCAACATATTGGGTAAAAATACAACATAAAATGTGGCCTGTGCAAAAATTATGGTACATTTTTTTTTATATTTTAATTTTTCCAGTATGTTAAGCTCAGCAAACAAATAGAAATTGTGTACTAAAAATTGCAGAAAAAATGTTCTCCTGTTGCATATGACTGCATACGTAAAGGCCAAAGTAAAAATAAATTCTCTGTATTAATGCTACAAAAATAAAAATATAAACATTCTCATGGAAATTGCACTTCATTATAAAAGACGTTGCTATTGGTTGGGAAGATTTCACACAACAAGTACAAAAAACACCTCACAAAATACAAAACTCCTCTGCTGAAAAGAAAAGAAGCACAGAGATGTGTGTCTGAAATTAGCATGCTAGCATTCAGACAAATCAGAAATGTTCTGAAACAATGTACTCTGGACAGATGAAACAAAAGAAGAACTCTTCGGATCGAATAATTCGGCTGGCCGTGTTCTGAGGTTGGAGCATATGAACTCCGGAACACCAGACTCACAGTGAAGTATGGAGGTGGGAGCCTCATGATATGGGGCCATTTCTTTGGAAATGTGGCAATGGGGCAATACATGCCATTGAAGGAAATATGAATTAGCAACATACCAGGAGATATTAAGAGGAGAATTTAATTTCATCAGTCAAGATACTGAATCTAAGAAGAAGATGGATATTTCAACAAAACAATGACCCCAAATATACAGTCAAGATTTCTTAAGAATGTTTTCTAAAAAAGAAGGTAAATCCCATTGACAATGTATGAAGGTTTTTGAAATTGCGAGTCCATCAGAGGGACTCCTATAACACTGGGGAATAGAAGATGGTTAGGCAAGAGAAATGGGCCAAAACTGAGCAACAATGTTGCACAAAGCTAATTACTTCTTACTGTAGATATAAGACAATGTCATCAATGGCTTTGCAAGAAAATACTAATGTAATTAATCTTTTCATCTGTAAATTTTGTTTTTTAAACCCACCTTTGTATATGCCTTTGAACACATACAACACATACCAAGTCAAACAACACTGTGTGTGTAAATTTGCAGTGGATATATATACTCTGCAAGTATATTAAATTATAAAAAAAAACAAAAGTATCTGAATATTTGCTTCCCCTCACTGTATTTAACTTTTCTTTTAAAAGGTAATAACTATAATAAAATCCTCCGAGACCACAACAAATTTCACATTCTGAAAACTCAAAACAGCTTGGCTTTTGAGACATCTCCACCAAACAAAGCCATGGTAACAATCACGTAATGGATTAAAAACACATTCACAATTTCACAAGCTTTGCACCTGACTTTGGTTTACAAATCACTTCAAATGAACTTTGACAAGAGAAAAATCTGCCAAAAGACACAAAATCCAGCACAAGAGATTAAACAAAAAAAAAAATCTACAGAGACACAAAACACTTTTTTTCTTTTTAACAACCTGGATCCAGAACAAGGCCATAGTTAAACACAGGCATTTATCAAAACACTACTTTACAGCTCTGACCATTACAATTCTTACTTCATAAGTGTGTCGACACAGCAGGTTATGTTTCAAAACCTCTCTTTTTGGGTGCATCACAATATTATTAAACATGCTTCAAACTCTTATCAATCCTCCACACAGTATGTAAAGGCTTATAAAGAAGAGACGTGGGATCAACTTGAAATTATTCCTTTTAACACTGCATCAGACAAATGAACTTATTAATCAAAAAATATTAATGTACTGTCTGTACGCATTTATATCTACTGTAGGTGAGACTGGGTAAACGCAGGCTGTGTGCCCAGTGCATAAAGTACAAGAAAACATTGTGTGTTTATGATGCAACAAATCATCTGCAAATCCATTGATTAGAGAAAATATTAAACTGTGCAGTGTGTTTGGGACTGTGCTTTATTATTCCTGTGCTCTGCTTTTCCTATTCACTGAAAAAATAAATAAAAATCAGAAGACAGAGCATGTTCATTTCCTTTATATTGTTCCTGTTCCTGTAGCTTGGATATCTGTCAGAATGCCTTGGCACCCAACACCCCATTTCTCTCTTAAATGTCTCTTATCTCTTATGCAACTACTATATTTACTGTATGATGAAACACCTCATAGAACTCCTTATCAGTGCAAACCTGGCCCTCGAATTTTAAGAGAATCATTTGAAATTCTAGGAAAACTTAAAAAAAAAAACAAAAACAAATAAAAAAACAAAAACAAAAACTGGGAACATTCATCAGCACAGGCAACTGACAACATTTTAAGCAAGCTTCCACAATAATTAGGGACAAAATCAAAAGTTAATGTATTCAGTTTGGTTCAGAACCTCTATTGGTAACAATAGAATCTCTAATAAGAGATTTTGTGCCTGGTTTACCTGTATCACAACTGAGATTAACAAACATTCTTGTTCACTTTTGACTAGGTAAAAATTGACAATAATTTTTTTGTGTACCTGGAGGTACATTTTCACTGATCTAAAGTTTAGATTTTGAGAAAAAATCTTGTTTTTCAAGAAACAACAGACCCAACTTCTTACCATGTAAACTGCAATTCAGCAACAGCTGAATGTAATGTTGTCTTGATGAAAATGTTATAAAAACCTTGTAACAACAGCGTAAGAAAACCACGTCATAAGAAAACCTTGAAGCCACCAGTGTGAATATTTCATAGCAAATGCACCCACAGACATACTGAAAAGAAAAACTTTTCAAGCTTGTAAAAATCTAAAGATGCTGTTCTGGAGATTTTCTGACCACAGGTATCAAATAGTCTAGCGCAGTGTCAGTGCTGGCTTACCTAGCACAGTGGAGCTCTCGGAGCTGGAGCACATGCCGGACGACTGGTACTCAGGCACATCCAGGCTGCTGAGCGCCTCTTCGTCAATGGACTGCGAGATGTCCTGCATGTTCGCCACACCGCCCATGAAGTCCCTGCAGAGCGGGCTGTCCAGCACCGGGTTCTCCAGAGGGGATGGGGGGCTGTATGGGCTCTCCATGTCTACCATGATGATGGTGGACAGGGCCTGAGGCCAACATGTGCATCAGACTGGACACAGAGAAAGAAGCAGCAAGAGACGTGGTTGTTAGATTTTGACATTCGTTATGAAACTAAGCAGAGTCCAGAACCACTACAGTTCACGTATAAATAGCCACGAGGACACTTTTAGAGGAGTCGAGAGCGGGATCTTCAGAGTGTGCACAGTATTTTTTAGAAGAAGCCTCGTTGTCTTTAATACATGAATCAAATCTGATATATCTATGCACTACTCAGCAAATCCTTGATAATAACAGCAGCAGTTGTTAATCACGCTGATGTTCAAAACTGGTGACCCGTTAAGCGTGTTGAGTTTTATTCGTTTACTCCCGTTCTTATCAGTATCAAACAGGGATGGGATCACTCAAAAATAGCCTTATCTAAGTGTCTGTGTTGTGTCTGCCTGATGGAGGGGTTAAGCACACAAGGCAAATGAGGCCAACAGAGCTATCAATAGTTAATATGCACTTAAAGGAGAAGTTTATGGGCCTCAACATGACATATCCAGTCTACTTGCCTTTAGCTGTAAGCTAGATTTACATCTGGCATCCAGTCTATTTATAAGAAGCATATGTACACCAGACATGTGTGTAAGTGTTATGCTACTGAAGAGTGCCAACAAAACATCATAAATAGTTCATGAGTAGAGCAGTAGGTCACACGCGAACGACATGAGCATAGCATATGCATCATGTTCTAACACAGGCTTTGTATGCCGGAGGTAGTTTAACAGCGCGAGTGCAGAGACGGAGGGGGCAGGGAAATTGGGTGTGAAGGAACTGGAACCATGCAAGGCCAAATAAACTAACAGCAGTAAACTACTATTATTTTTGCTACTTTTAGAAAGAGAAAAAGGGAGCAAAAGAGGGAGAGAAGCAGGCATACAGAGTAAAAGAACATGGAGACAGAGAGAGAGGGAGTTTCAGAAAGAGAAATACAATGAAAGCATGGAGGAGCGAGGGGAGGGGATTCAGGGTCGCCAGCGAAGACAACAGAGCTTTGTTTGTCCCGGGGGTCAAAGTGACTCAGTAGGATACAACTCTCTGAGCCAGGCATAGACAATGTCATCAACTCAGGCAGCAAGGGCATAGACAGAGAAGAAGTGAAGAGAGCCAATCCAAAAAAGACTACAGCAGAAGTAATATATGGATGATAAAGTACAATCTATTTTACTTATATTGTGGAATATACTAGTGGCGTTATGATATGCTTATTGATATTCTTGTTTTTCTGAAATTGGGGTTTGCGAATCATACTCACTTTGAATCAAATACAGTCAGATTCTATGCAATAAAAAATTGTGGTATTAGAGATACTGATGTTGACTAATTAAAATATAAGATAATTATAAACTAAATGTTTATTGGTATTTCTTTATTATTTTAAATGTATTATATTGTGGTGCAAAAACCACAATACATAAAAGTAGAGGTGAACACTCAGGGCCTTCTAGGCCTTCTTTAAACTCTGTAAGTGTTACAGTACTACTCTTGTTTCTTTGTTAAGCTCTGGATGGGAACAAAAGGGTTAATTTTTTTTTTATTTCCATTCGAAGACTGGCCAATCAGGAAGCTTAGTTAGAAAAAAGTTAATGTTCTGGAGATATGAGGTTCTGTTCCAGACATCTCTTGATTTCAGAAGGAACATCGGATGAGCAGACGTTGAACATGTCCAAATGAACGTTTGGACATGCACAACAATATGTTTCATGTTCAAAGGTGAAGTGATGTGAGACTTCAGTCTCCACAGAGGAAACAAATGAGAGATTTTTCATGTTTTTTCATTCCAGGAAATTAATAAAGGCAATGTGAATGCATGATTTTTTATGATCTACTTTGATTTACGGAGCTTGACAGATGGCTTATGAACTTGCTGAACCCAGTCCTAGCTTGACTTGTACAAACATCTCATGGAAACATGCTCCTATGTTATTTTAGACTGTCTTCACATGAACAAAATGAAAACTGGCATGACAAAAAACTGTTGCTTAATAAGCAAAGAGCCATCAAACTTCTCTCTGTACATCACTAAGCGCACAGTCAGGTCCACACTGACATGCAAACATTGCTCACCTGATCATCTAGTACACCACTTTTACTGACTTTATTATTCCTATACTTACGTTGATGAAATGAGATCAGCAGACTACAGTATTATTCAGTAGACTTGCATCACAGCTGACATTTCACCCACTGTTTACAGTCTTACTTCAACCCAGTTACATAAGCAAGACGTAGTATTTCATATCGACCCATTCTGTTCTGTAATACCTACAGTGTAAATGCATTATCTTCATTGGACTTTAGACTCAGCTTGGGTTTTGCTGATAGCTTATCAGTCTGTGAGGAATACATCCACCCAAACGTCAAATCTAAGTTCCTTTATAAAGAGATTCCAGATCTATGACTAATAATATCTGCCAGTTTAACACATTCTTAAAATTCCATTAAAACGTATACAGAAGATGAATCTTCCACAAACAGCTTTAAACCTTAACCTTAATCTCCACAGATGACCACTGGCTCACCTCTGCTAACAGGTGACTGGTACAGTAAATGAGTAATCACCGTATTTAAACATTTGCTTAGTTTTGTAAATCATTTCAATCTTCTTTAATGGCACAGTAAAATCTAATGCTGGGAGACATTACACAGGGGGGAGCATGTTAGGACTCCACACACATCCTCATCAAGACACCTTCCTAATCAAACTCTCAGTCCCATTTGTCTTCTGAAGATAAAAAATAAACCTTTGTTAAGCAACAAGAGAAGCACAAAAGTACAAAAAACACCCTCTGTGAGACCAGAGTCTCATTCTTTTCCTCTATAAACCCACTTACATGCTCAGAATCTGCAGGTGGGTCCAGGCTTCCCTGCCTCACTTCTATACCTTGAGAATAACAAGTGAATCGTTTTTCATGTAATTACTGAATAAAAATAAGTCTTAAAGTCAAAAAATGTAGATACAGGCTAAAGTCACTGCACATCAATTCAGGATTACATGAAAACAAGAATGATTTCTTTTAAATGTTTTGGTATGAGGAATCATGTTTAATATGGGACATGAACTAATGAGGCAAAAAAAGATTAATTTTGATTTCAGGTTGATTTTATTAATAATAATAATAATAATAATAATAATAATTATAAGCCTGGGACTATAAGGAATTAAGCAACTGGGCTTATTTAGAAATGAACAGAATGCAATACAGACAGCCGTTTCAAACCTCTGTTGACCACAGCCTTTTTTATTTAACCTTTAATTTAACCAGGTAAGTCATTAAGAATATATTCTTATTTATAATGGTGGTCAAGGAGGCGGCAGAAGCTATTTGAGGAAGAGAAACATAAAAGAGGAATAAAATTTGGAAAAGCAACAAACCCAATTACACAACAATCACACGACCGACAGCAAACAACACTAAATCTTAACACAATTGCAACAGACAAATAAGGGGTCTAAAATAATCTGTCAATACAGAAGTAGGTATATGTATCAGTAGAAATGTCCTTTATGTCATTAATGAAGTTGAAATGGTTCCAGTTTTATAAGGGACATATTCCACATTAGTCTAATATTTTATTTTTTCCACTTTTTGACATTTGGGTGATTTTACATACCAAAAACAGTCATAATTTAATGTACATGTCCTCTTTCTATCCATTAAAAATGAAACTGTGGCTTTATATCAGATATATGTAAATAAGCTCTGCTCTGACTAGCTGTCCTGAAGTGTGCCTTATTTAAAAAGAAGTCCAGGCTTAAACACTCCTTATAATTTTAGTGTGAATGGGTGGAGCTAAAATACTGTATACCGAAGAGGTGGATAGATGTAAATGTGTATTTGTGCCATCACAGAAACAGTGAATACTGTTTTTTATGGACTGTATGGACTGATGAGTGAATTGAACATTTTGAAACTTTAACACACTGTTTACACACTACATCAAACTCTTTTACAAGCTTTTTTTTTACAACAGAACCCTTTTTAGTGCTATACTGAACTATTTTCAAAAAGGTTTAATATAGAACCATCTACAGCACATCCTCCATCAATCGGAAGAACCATGCAACCCTTTAATCATGAAAAGGGTTCTTTGAGTATTCATGGTTCTATATATAAACATTTTCTTTTTTAAAGAACCCATGAAGAACCATCGTTTTTGAGAGTGTAGGGACTTAACAGAATGTGGAGGGAAGGCCTGGTGTTATAGGTTATAGACTGATGACTGGCCATTTAGAGTCTTGTAAATTACTGTAAACCAGTTGATATTGTAAGGAGGGCAGACTGACCAGAGAGAACAATGTGTTCTGAAAGACTGCAGTCCAATATGTAAACTGTGTTAAGGTGACCATTCAGCAATCTTTTCCAGCACGTTGGGTCATATGACTGGAGAGTGTGGACAATATTTAGGGAACTGATTTGTCACACAGGAAAAATGCGACAAAAAAGGCAGAAGACAGAAGTGTTGGTCTTATGACCTGTATTTTTATAAGGTCATTAATAGTGGACTCAGCTTTCATTCACCATCCTGTAAGACTGCAGGGTACATAAGATCATACTGTGATTACAGTGTTGGATATATTGCTAAATATTGCTCATATTGTGGTTGTGTTGAGAGATGACTTGCAACATAAAGAAAACAAATGACCACTTGATATGACATTACTAAGATGTGAGTGCACGGTTTTGACAAAAAAGCATTACAGCTGTTAGACCATGTGAATGTCACAATCTCAGCACAGGGGGCAACAGCACAGTGATCTCTCAGAGTGCTCATTTGTGTATTGCAACTACCGAAGCTATTGCAGTAATGATTAACAAATAATACACTGGGAAGAAATATTGCCCTGAAAAACTGAGCAGACTGATCACACTTGGTATGATGTAACTTTGAATCTGCGCAAGCAGAGGCCCACAACACAAGCCTGGCCACCTTGTTGAGTGTGACATTCTCCATACCTGACGCCTCAGTACTTCCTGTGCTGACAGGCATATAACACTAAACTCA